AAACCCAACAGCCTCCCTAAAGAGTCACCCTTCTCATCTCCGCTGCTCAAACAGAGCACAGGCATGAGAGGCCATCTACCTGGTCCAGCTGATGGGAACGTACTTGTCACAGGATCTGTGCCAAGAGAAATATTCTGGTGATTTCCAAACAGATGCTGTAAACATGCTCGAACACTCTTCTGCAACTAATACGCCATGTGTCTGGGCCCAAGGGCCTTGGGTCAGCAGGAGACAATGGACACGAACTCAGAGGCTCTAGAACACCCACAGGAGAGGGTCCACACCTATGCACTGCTCTCCGTCTCACTCACATGTGTGGGAAGCTGCTGTATTCTTCAAACTCTCTAAAGGAAGAGACTTCTTAGGTTCCACCCCCCGTGTGGGGTGTGTGGTCCCCCTTTATGTCCAGTTTTCTTCTCTCCTGCTGCAGTTCTAATAGTCCTCACCTTGCTAGTTGTCCAGGGGAAGCTGGTGGGCAGCCCTGTACACACACACACACACACACACACACACACACACTCACGCCGGGTGCCTTCCCCTCTGCACGCTTTCTTTCCCCAAAGCCACAAGTGCCTGCAGGACAAGCCCTGAGCCCTGACACGGAGGCCCTGGCCCAGAACCACTACACCCCCATGAAGAAATCTCGGGCTTACCTCGGTGTGATGCTGTAAACAATTGTTTACACCCTTAGCTGTCATCATGACTGGCTTAGTTTCATTTCTTGAACGGGGAAAGGCCATTTCCTTAAGCAAAAAAGGGGCACTGAGACACCTGGTATGCCTTAATGAGCCTAGTCATAATCACTCCTGAGGGACACCTGGCTGGCTCAGTCAGCAGAGCAGGTGACTCTTGATCTTGGGGTTCAAGCCCCACAGTGGGCCTAGAACTTACTTTAAAAAAAAAAAACAAGGGGCGCCTGGGTGGCTCAGTGGGTTAAGCCGCTGCCTTCGGCTCAGGTCATGATCTCAGGGTCCTGGGATCGAGTCCCGCGTCGGGCTCTCTGCTCAGCGGGGAACCTGCTTCCCTCTCTCTCTCTGCCTGCCTCTCTGTCTACTTGTGATCTCTCTCTCTCTGTCAAATAAATAAATAAAAAATCTTTTAAAAAAACAAACAAACAAACAAACAAACGAGGACTTCTGCTCAGTGTTACCTGTGGCCCCAGGCAGGTGGCCTCACAGCAGCTGTGTCCTCACAATCCATGGCACATTCTATCACTTCCTTAGTGGCTGAGGCCCTGCCAGCGTGGCATTCCACCCTCCCAGCTGGCCTGGCCTACCGTCTGCTCCTCCTGACCCTTCGTGGAGCCCCACCTCACCCCTTCTTCCTGTGCCTCCAGCCTCAAGCCCCGAGGCTTCCCGAGGCTGCTGAGAGACAGGAGTACGCAGGGCCTCCTGGGACCCACGTTGCACAGGCTCGTCCAGCCGCAGGCAAGGCCGCGGGCAGGGAGGTGGCTCAGCGGCTTAGGCCCGTCCACCGTGGCTGGCTCTAGGGGTGCTGTCACTGTTGCCTCAGGATCTGACTTCTTTGAAGGTGGCCATGGGGTTCTGGGGCACAACCTGGAAGCATGGGGAATGTGACCCTCTATGGAGTGAACCTTAGCCAAGGAGAAATGAGACTTGGCACATCCGGAAGGAGGTGACCAGAAATAGGAGCTCAGAAGGAGGTGACTGGAAACGGAAGCTCAGGTCCGTCTAGCATCAGGATCTGTGTCCTCTGAGACCATGAGCGCTGAAGTCAGAGAGACCCAGGCTTCAGTGCTGACTCTGCACTTACTGCCATGTGATCGTCAACCTCTCTGAGCCTCTGTTTCCTCAACTGTAGAAGGGACAGATTCAGGGGTGGTGGGCTTGGAAGTTTCTTCTGGCTGGAATATTCCAGGCTCTGCTGTTGCAGCCTCTGAAATGTCCCTGTCTAATCACACAGGATGGATCCAGGTTCAGGACTAATGTAAACCAAGGGGACCATCTTGGTAGGCGTATCAAAGCCTGAACCTGGGGAGCGTGGGGTCCCAGCATCACCCACTCCTGCCCAGGACCAACCCCACTGGCATTCAGACAGCCTCTAGGCCTATTCTTCCAAAGGGAAAAGATTTCCCTCCCCTGCCGTCTTGCCTCCCACGACCGGATCCCGCTGCCCTCCGATGCATTCTCATAGCTCCTTCTACTTTGCCTCCCTTGCACTTGTGGTTGGAGATTATATAGTAATATTTTTTTGATTTTTAAAAAGATTTTATTTATTTATTTGACAGACAGAGATCACAAGGAGGCAGAGAGACGGGCAGAGAGAAAGAGGAGGAAGCAGGCTCCCTGCTGAGCAGAGAGCCCCATGCGGGGCTCAATCCCAGGACCCTGAGATCATGACCTGAGCCGAAGGCAGAGGCTTTAACCCACTAAGCCAGCCAGGCACCCCTGGAAATTATATAGTAATATGATCTCTCATCAACATCCATCTCTCACTGGTAAGATTTATGAGGGCAGAGTCCATGTTCATTTTGTCCCCCACTGTATCTCCAGCATCTGAATAGCAGAAGGTATCTAATAAGTGGTTATGGAATTAATGATTTTAGGAATTAGTTAATTAGTATTACATAGCCAGTGGGGCACCTGGGTGGCTCAGTGGGTTAAGCCTCTCCCTTCAGCTCAGGTCATGATCTCAGGGTCCTGGGATCGAGCCCCACATGAGGCTCTCTGCTCAGCGGGGAGCCTGCTTCCCCCCTCTCTCTGCCTGCCTCTCTCCCTACTTGTGATCTCTCTGTGTCAAATAAATAAATAAGATATTAGAAAAATATATTACATAGCCAAGTCTTGATAAGACCAAAGCAGCAGTGTTTGGGCTTGAAAGCCGACCTGGGGGGAATTTTTAGGATCCCTGGTTGATAGCCTAAGTCCTTTGGTATGGAAATGCATGTCATTGAGCCTCAGACTCCCCTCCTCTCCCTGCCGGCCTGTGTCAATGCTCCTTAGGGGGCTTCTAAGGGGACTGGCTGTACACTAACTCTGCCATCCCTGAAGTCACCCTACCAGTCACCAGGCAGCCCAAGGGTGCTGAAAAAAATGGGCTCAAGGTAACCAAGCTGGTTGGGAAGAGGAGGAGGAAAAGGCCCGGCATCTCAGCTCTCTGGGGTTTAACCACTGGGCTGCACGGCGAGATGCAAACCAGAAATCTGTTCCAGGAGGGGCTCTGGGACTGAATGGAGAAGCAGCGCACGCGTCCTTTTGTGCTGAAGCAAGGGCATTGCTGGCAGGGTAGGCTCGAATCTCAAAGAGAGCAGACAGCTCTCGGAAGAAATCTTCACCCCCAACCCCTGCCCCTGTGAGATGTTCCCAGGGCTCCTTCTAGGCCTGCTGCAGCCTTCTGTTGATTGATCAGTCCTCTGTGTGCAAACGTCTCCCTGGGAGCAAAGCCTCACTTCAAAATCAGCTCACACTGGAGCATTCACAGTGCCCTGCAGGAGTCTGGCCGTGTATCCCGCTGGGTCATTGCAAATGCTGTCTATCCTGCCAGGCCACCCTTTCTAAGCACCCCTCCTCCTCCGCTCTTCAATATCTTCCGTGCTCATGTCCAGATAGAACGTTTCATGACGCACCACCGAGGATGGCTTTTTTAACAGCCTAACATTTTTATCCTTGAACACCAGGATGACAAAAATTTCCCACGTCCCAAGTGCGGTACATAGGAAGGGTTAAAATCATATTAACTCGAGAGAGCAAGGGCAGGGGGAAAAAAACGAAGGAAGGAATGAAAAGAAAAAAGTCAGACTGAAGGGAAGGGAGATGTGGAGGGAGGGAGCATCAAAAGGAAGGAAACAGGAAGGGCCTGGACGGAAGGATACCTTTCTCCGTGACATCACAGTCAAGCTGCAGTGGTGGGTGGTGGTGGGAAGACCATGGGTCCTGGTGTTAGACAGATCCAGGTTCAAATCCCGGCCCCGTTTCATATTAACCTGTGGCTTCCGACAAGCCATTCAAGCCCTCTGAGCTTCAGATGGCTCGTTTGTAAAATGAGGATAACAACTAGCTAAAAGCTATGTTTAAAGAGGATTAGAGATAATGTATGTAAAGCACCTTGCACGTTGCTGTTCACAGAGAGGCTGCAGGAGCCCTGCAGGGGCTCCTTCTGCACTGGGAAAGCACAGAGGGGGAGAGGGCTTGGTTCAAGGTCGCGCTAGGAACCCAGGTCTGAGCTCTCTGCACAGAATTTCCATCAGCAGGACTCTGGCCACAAAAACTCGGTTATGGAAACGTGGACACTGAATCAGTAACGACTTAATTAATTTTTACGGGTGTTAATAGTGTGTACCAAGAAAGTAAGAGAATTCCCCCTGGAAGAACTTTCTCTATCATTGCTCTAACTGAGCAGATGACTGACATTCTGTGACACTCACCTGCATTTTAACCAAGTCCCCACATTTACCCTGGAAACCTACAGCCTATCCAAGTGCACCTTGACTCTGGGTCTGTAAGAGCACATTAACAACCACAGACAATAAGACAAGAAGCAAGATAACCATAACCATGACCAATTGCTCTGACAGTCCATTCCTTTCCCCCTGCTATTTTACCATATCTCCCCTGACAGCACCTCTCCAGTGTCAAAGTCAAAGGATGTGATGCCTTCTGCTCTCCCAGGCCTGTCCAAGCTCTGTCGGGGGTACTACTGAGCAGTGAAATCATCAGAATACACAAAAGCACCAGGCTCATCCAGAAATGGACTCCAAACAATCAAATCCATGTTGTTTGGTCAAAACGTCCATTACCTGGAACAGGTGCTGAGCTGGGAGAGCCACAGGGCAGGGACCATGGTGGTCTCGTTCACCGATGTGTACCAGCCGTGCCTCGCTTGGTGTCGGCTCAGAAAAGATTTGTGCAATGGACAACTACATGAAAAGTGCACGATGGACTGAATACGTGGATGGCTCACGAGTATATGGTACGACCTTATGCCCTTCTGCCTCCCTCCCTGGCCCACCTCCAAGTCCAGATCACCTCCCCTCTCCTTACCCTTGCGATCAGCTCCCCGACCATTCCCGTCCAGGTGCCGTTGGCCTCAGGAACACCGTACACGCCGTCCCCGACCAGGCGGATCTTGTAGTTGAACCGGAGGATCTCTGCCAGCTCCTTGAGCATGTCCACACAGAAGCCCTCGTAGCGGTCATTGCCTTCCATCTCCTGGTGGTTCCCCTTCAGCATTAAATACGGGTTTTCCTGCAGCAAAACTGGGCAGCTGTCATTCTCATCTTGTTCCTGGTGTCTCAGCCACAAGGGATGGGGGTGCCAAGGCAGAGGGAGGGGAGGGGAGAAGAGGAGGGGGAAGGGAGTGATGCGGGTGATGGGAGCTGCTCTGGAGGTGGCAAGGAGCTCCCCTCCCAACCTCGAGGCACTTCTCTTACCAGGACCACGCAAGGGTCCCCAGTGCACAGGGGATTGAGCTGAAGACCCTCCACCTTGTTCAAGGTCATCATCCAACCTTACCCCCCATTCCATCCATTCTGCCTTTCCCTTCCTCTTGTCTACTGCACGCAGACCTATCACAGGACATCATGAGATACTAGGCTACCGACAACGCAGCAGGGCAGGGTAAGAACACCCACGGACCAGCTGCAACCCAAGGGAGAGCACGTCCAGCCATGAGAGCCCTGGGAAGGAGGAAGGGGCTCTCTGGTGAAATGTCCAGAGAAGTTTCTACAGGGGAGGCAGAATCCAAGCTGGGCCAGAGGAGCATGGAAGATGGATGGAGGAGGTGTGAGTGGAGGGCATGCTAGGCAGGGGAAAGGCAAGACCCAAGGCATGATCATGAGTGAGAAGGAGCATGGCCTCCTCAGGGCACAATGGATCCTCCTTTCAGCTGGAGTGTGGGTTGTGTGCAAGGGTGGCTGCGAGGATAAATTAGATGGGTTAGGGTCCGATGGGCCTCGGAAGCCAGGACAAAGTGGATACACATCGTACACACATGGAACGGAAGCAGGGAGGGTTTGCAATACTTAAGGGTTAAGGATCGTAAGACAGAACACCTGGGGGAAAGGTCGGACTGTCTCCTGATGGGAGATACTGAGTCCTGAGTCACAGTTTGGCTTGGGTAGGAGCACTGGGAGCTGTAAGAGACAGCGAGAAGGTCAGGCTGGACAGCAGGGGCTGTGGGCATCAAGGGTAGGGGCCCTCACGCTTGTGGGGCCTGAGTGGATGACTGAGGATGGCAACCTCACCCACAGGGGTAGTTTGGAAAGGAAGAGGATTTGGAACATGTCGAATGTGGGGTGCTGGTAGGCTCTCCAGGAGGAAAGTCCTGGCTGAATGCTTCAAATGGAAAGTGAGAGCAAGACTGGGACAGGGCCTGGGAGGCTTCTGCACCGAGGGGGTGTCTGAAGCTGCCAGACACGTGAGGCCATCGAGGGGGAAGCACTGAGGAAGGACAGAAGAGGGACAAGACCTTGATCTTCCACTGTGGGAAGATGAAGAGCTGCCTGAGAAAAATGCAAAGCAGAAGTAGCCAGAAAAGCTGAAAATCAGGAAAATGTGGCAACTGAAAGCCAGGGAGGTAAGGAAGGGGAAGGAGAGTGCAGACATTCCCACACAGAGAAGAAGCAGGGCTCTGAAGGGCGCCTGGGCCAGGTGTCGCTGGCGACCCTTCCGAGGCAGGCTCAGTGGGGCTGGCAGGACTCTGCAGGAATGGGGAGCAAATGAGAGGTGCACGAGAGAAGGGACCAGAGTTCTGAGAAGTCAGGGGACAAAGGAAGGCAGGCAGATGACCTCTTGACTCGACGGCTACTGGCCATGTCTCTCCTGCAGCTTCAGCAACCCCGTCTGCAAACCACAGGGCTGAAGGACTCCCCTAGAGTCCACCAACAGCACGGTTTACGATCCCCTAAACTGGAGGGTGGCTGGAGGGGTAGCTGGGCATGAGTAAGGGGGTGGCAATGGTATTGGAGGATAGGAGGGATCTGGGCATACTTGTAGGCAGAGGGGAAGGATCCCGGAGATGGAGAGATGAGCAAAGGAAGAGAACTGCTAGCTGGTGCGGCACGGTCCCAGGGATGAGTGGAAGGGGACAGGGCCAAGGTGAGAGTGATGCTGGGAGGCGGGCCTGGAGGTGATGTGGAAACATCGATGGACGTGGGATACAGAGAGGAAGGGAGGCTGCGGAGGGCGGGGAATCCATGTTAGCCCCCAGAGTTGGGTTGGGGGCAGGACTGAAGACTTGGTGTGCAGAAGGGTTTGACAGAACTGCTGAGGGGTTAGGACACAGAAGGAACAAGACATGAGCCCAGGGGGTGCCAAGGCCCAGCTGAAGTTGGGAGGTTGATTGAGAGCTGGGAGCTGGGATTGCAAGGACAACTGGGTGTGGGACAGATATGAGGTGGGAGGGCTGAGCATCGTGGTGGGGATTTTGTTAGAAGCTAAGAGACGGAAGTGCTGAAACGCTGGTTTGCTGAGCTCGTGTTGGGTTGGGGAAGATGGAGAGTCAGACAGATCGGAGGTCATGAGGGGATGGTATGGGAGAGCGATTATGTGGGTGTGAAATGGGAGAGAAGAAGACAGAATGTTGTCTGTGAAGGAGAGGGAGCTCTGAGTCAAAGGTGATGTAGTTCTGCTTCATGACCAAGTTCACTGCCATGTCAATGAGAGAGGCCAGACTCTGCCTTCCACACATCCTGTCCTCGATTCAACGGTTTCTCTCTGCCCCAAGTGCTCTCCCTCCTCTTCTTCTGCCTATCCTAACTCACCTCTGTCTCTGTCTCCATCACCTCCTCTGAGGCCAACTCACTTCTCAGAACTCCCACTGCACTCACCACCAGGGCCCCCCAGGGTCCAGTTCTCCTCTAGGATGTGCTCCTTGGTTGGGACCTGGATAGACAGACTCTTCCCCTTATTTGGGTGCCCCATCTAGCTCCAGCATTAGGTACTCATGGACTGAGGGAACAGTGCTGAAGTGGCCTTAGGGATAGGGTTTAGCTGGGGGTCCCACCCCTGGACTGGCAACATCCTAGCCTATCTTTAATTAACCCTAGAAGTTTCATGAAATTCTTCTTTCCAGATACTCTCTATGCACAAGGTAATGGAAAAATCCACTGACATGTTCAAAGTAATCATACAAAAGACTAATCCTGGAGGGGAGACAGGTGGGGACAGATAGCAGGGGACAGACTCAACATATCAGAAAGGTTGGGGTTCACCAGCACTTTGGAAAATATGGGGACCACATGCTGGCTTGGAGCAGGGCCCCTGTCTCAGCAAGAGCGTTGGGAGAATGAAGGAGGTAACACAGGCAAAATGTTTAACTTGGGGTCTGACACACGGTAAGTGCCCAGGGAGTGAGAGCTATAGCTAATTCTGTGCAAATACATCATTCCCATGTCCCAGGCGTACCCCCGCAGGAACAGGAGACAACAGGGATGTGTGCTGAGTTTTAAGGGATAAGCCATTCTGGATTACCACTTGCCAAGGATAACCCACAAATGGTCCCCAGGGACTAAATTAAGGTAATCATTCCGGGGAGAGTTGTTGACTTGTAGCCGCCAACTCAAACACACACGTACGAGGCAAAATCTGTGTCTGAACTCTGCTTACTGTGTTATTAAATGTCCCTTGACACAGAGGAGCCCTGCTGCCGCCCTTTACGAACACGCACGTGCATATATGAACATGTGAACTCACACATGCGCACGCGCACATAGAGTCAGATGGCTTTTCCCGATCTAGAAGCACAAACTGTGGTCTCAGTGTCCCTGTGGTTTCACGCCAAAACTCTGAGCACCGTCTGAGTCCAGACCCTGAGAGGCAGGAAATACAACCTAGTGATGTCCCCGCGTCCCTCACAGCCTCTGGCTGGCTTTTAAGGGACATCTCCCTACCCTGGAGGAAGAAACTCCTATATTCAAATTCCAATCACTGAGCTCCCACTTTATGCCAGGAACCCCAATCTTCGAGGAGTTCTCATCCTAGAAGGGGAGTAAGGCAGAAGCAACCACCTCTAACAGGAGAAACGGCCACAACAGCGGTGTGGGCAAAGTGCTAGAGACGGGGAGAGGGCAGGAGTCAGGTTAGGGAGGACTTCATGGAAAAAGTAACATCTCAACAGAGCTTTGAAAGGTGCACAGGCAAATCCGGAGAGAAACAGGTATTGGGGGAAGGGTACTCTGGGGTGAGGGAACAGCATGTGCAGAAGCAGGGAATGGCATGATATGGTGAGGAAATGCCGGGCAGTCCTGGACAACCAGAGCCCAAGTCACATGGAGAGGAAGCAGGTACCGGGTACGGCAAGCTGGGCCTGATTATGAGGGGTTTCTAGTCTAAGTGCAGGGGCAGCGGGTCCTCCTTAGAAAGGTCATGCCCACAAAGTGGTAGAGAGTATTATGGGCAGTAGACTGAGCAATGGAGAAGGGAGCCTCTAAGGAGGTCACGCTCAGGTGAAAGAGGGACATGGGCCTTAGTTAGGGGATGGGCTTTGGGGACAGACAGCTGGGGACAGACTCAAGAAGTACTTCTGAGGTAGAGAAGTCGGCAGGAGGGAGGTCCCCGCTGTCGTGCTCAGCGGGGACATCAGCTCACCATCACCCAGCTCGGCCAGGCTCTACCAGACCTCAGGAGGGGCAGTGATGACACCATTATCCTCCAATCTTTCTGGCCTTTCCACGTTGGTTCAGAGAAGCTAAGGCTGGAGCTGAGAGGGGAAGTGACAAAACCCTGGAAGCTGGAACCGCTCTTTCCATTCTTTGCTCTGAGCCTGGCCTCTGCCCAGAATATTCTCTCCCAGATAGCCGCGTGGCTCCCTCCTCCGCCCAACAGGTCTCTGCTCCGGATTTCCCCAGCTCAGTGGCGTCCACACGGACACCTGTGCTCTGGCACCCTGACTCCCCTCCTCCATCTCTGTCTATTCCCGGATACCTACAACAGTGCCCAGTGTACAGTAATGCCCCCCAAAAAGTCACTATATAAATGCATGAAAATACTCAGTGACTCCGTTTCCTAACATGAAGGGGAAACTCAACAGCACGGCATCCAAGTCCTGAAGCACTATGGGCCCAGCCCACTTTTCTGGCCTCAACTTTCTCCTCTCGACCAAGGCCTATTTCCTGGAGAAGCTACCTTTTTCGGCATTTCCTAAACACTCTATAATGCTGTCCTTCGTTCATCTCTTCCTCCCTATCGCTCTGTCTTCTGGAGCCCATTTTCAGTGCCCCTTCTTCTCTAGGAAGCTTTGCTGACTTTCCTAATGGGATGGGACCCCTCCCTCTTTCAACTCCCAGAGTGGTAGGTGTGCCCCTCTTTCCTCAGTTTGATTGCACTCTGCTCACAGTAGATCAAGAATTCCAGTCTAATGTTCCTGTGCCCCAGAAGTTCATGAAGGTAGGGATAGAAGTCCCCGAGCTCTTTCATTATCTCAAAAAGCCTAAAGAAACAGACGCATTTGCAGACCTCACGCGTTCAGCAATGATAAGGCTGAGGCAGACTAACTAGTGCATCGAGTCTCTGCTTTGGGCTGGAATTATATCAGCCTGGCAATGGTGGTTATCTCCTGCTGATAAGACACTGTGCCAGGCAGGCAAATACACTTTTGATTCGTTCAGAGGGGAAGAGTGAGGGGAGAGGAACAAACTAATTATTGTTTAATATATGTAGTTGGGTTAATTGATAAATCTTTTAAAACATGAGGTCTCTACAGCGGAAGAAGATGACAACCTTGGCCTTGAATGCATTTGACCCCTGCTGTCTACTAAATCATAACCTCTTTGAGGCTAGAGACCATGTCTTACTCATCTTTGTGTCTCTGGGAATGAGCACAGTGCCTGACCCATGGGGGAGAAGGCTTTGGTAACTGTTGACGAGAATCGAATCAAATAAAAAAGGCAGATGGTTCCTTACTCTATAGATGGAGAATTCTTTTGACCATCTGGAAATGAAGAAACAAGCCATAAAAACCCATGGAAATTTGGGGATCTACTGGGAGGGGGCATATTTTATACACAGTAGGCACCAAACGAGGTAGGCTTTTGTGAAAGAGTGGGGCCACGGTGTTGGACTAGATCCAGTCCCCTGCTGGGCTCCTCCCCTCCCCCACCCCCATGTCAGAAGGTCCCCTTCCCTGGGCCAGGCACAGCCACCCTGGCTGTCTGGGTGCCCCTGGAAGAGGCATCCGCAAACTGGGATGTCTCTCCACTCCATCCCTCTTCCCCAGCTGCTCTGGAACTCATCAAATATCATTTCCATATGAAACAGCAACTTGCGTGTAATTACACTGTCATAAATTGGCCTCGGCGCTGTGATTAGAGCTTCCATCTCGCGTTCTCTGGGAAGCCTGGGCGCGCTGGGAGCTGGAGGAGGCACCCCGGGGAGCTGCAGCTGGGAGGCCCGGGACCACCCCGCTTACCAGGATGGTGGTGACAACCAGGGTGGTGTTGAAGAGGCTGTCGGAGATGTTGGAAGCGTAGAGGCGGCTGTCCATGCTGAGCCCGTCCGCCACATGCCACTGGCCAATCTGAGGAGACACAGGAGAGAGGGCTGGGAAGGGATGGGGTTAGGAGACGGCTGGGGAGCAGGGCTACTGAGGTCATGTGTGGGCCTCCAGGGTTGGAAGGAGCTGAGAGGCCAGTCCCCTCCCTCGGTCCGGGCCACATGGAAGCCATAGAAGGAGGCAGGGAAATGGAGTATGGAGAGGGTCTGGACGAAGGCAGGGTTACTGTTCCATAGGGTTGAGGGGGTCAGGGAAGATGGGGGGTGCTGAAAAAGGAAGGTTCCGAGACATTCAATCACACGGAAGGGAACGAAACATGGGGAACCGCATTATCTTAAGTCAGGAATAAGCCACAAAGCTCTTTTGTTTCAGCCTACCGCCCATAATTCTGATTCCCTACATAAGAACCAGAACGGTAGCGTGGACAGAACTGACAGACACTCGTCCCTTCAGTGAATGTTGCTTGAGGGGCTCAGTGGGTGAATGAACCAGAAGAGGGAAGACCCGGGTTATTGTCCTGGCTGACTCGCTCACTAGCTGCGAGAACCTAGGCAGGTTACTTAAATCTCTCTGAATCGTGGTTCCCCCATCTGTCAGCGGGGGTGGCGATTTTTGCCCGCCTTCTCCTCAGAGGCAGCCGAGATCCTGGCTGTACCAGCTCGACGCTAGATTTCTCAGCCCGGCCCCAGGAGCGTGGATTGCCAACACGTAACCTCTGAACACTGACCGACCCTCTCTGAGCATGTCTGCTCATCTATGAAATGGGAATAATCCCAGAAACGTCACTGGGTCCTTGCGAGAATATATTTGACACTATTTTCCTTCCTCTTCCCTGCTGTCTTCCCTTCAAGCGGGAAAAACACCCAACTGACTCAGGTCTCCATTCTAGAATGTCGCCTATACCTAAACTCAACCTCATTGGGTGTTTAGATGGTTTGTTTTCTCAGTGGAACCCCTTTTATAAATACGTGTGTGTGTGTATGTGTATATGTGTGTGTGTGTATGTGTGTGTGATACCAATACATTTCTACTAGCCAGAGCCCCTGGCAAATCCCTTCTGTGGCTCTTGGGTTGGAGGTGGGCATCCAGGAGACATGGCTGACAGCTGGCTGGAAACCCAGTGAATTGCACACGTCCAGCTCTGCCAGGTACCTCCAGGCACCAGCAGCAGCTTTCCTGGAAAACCCTCCCAAGCTCCGTGGATGGCATGCGGCTCTGTTCACCAGAGCTGGGCTCCACGTTCCTCTTTCGGAAAACAGAACAACAATGAAGACATATCTCACCCCTGGCCCCAACCCCCACTCAGTAGGGCCGGAGAGTGACGGGTCTGGGGGAGTCAGTAACCCTCTCTCTGCCATCACGGTCGGCAGCTTGAAGAGGGGAGGGCCAAGCGAGGACTGATGGTCTCATAGGTGAGCCTTTCATCTGCCAGAGGGGAGATGACCCCAAATTGCCTTCCAAGCCCCTCTGAGGGTGCCACGTGGAGAGGAGCGGGCAGCCTTCACCGCTGTAAGGGCAGATGGGTCCTGGACATACACTCATTCATTTCTCGTTTACAAGCAGAGTCTCATGCTATCCACACGGGAGACCCCATTTGACAGATAAACCAACGGATGGCTGAGATAAGAGTTCTGCTACCTCGTCCTAGGGTCGCCTCACCCATCAGCAGAGAAGCCCAAGCTTCAGCCCCAGATGCATCTTCCCAAGCAAGCCTTCATGGCCATCCTGTCTGGCTCTTCCAATGTCCTACAGCGCATTTTCGTTTGCTTGTCTTTTCCACTAGTCTGTGTGGGGCTGGCCGGTGTGTGCTCACGCCCCAGCATCTTGCTTGGGGGCTGGTACTTGGAAGCAGGGGAAGCCAACATTTCATATCAGCAGATTGCTGCTGCTGGTGGAGTGTGGGCAGAAGACAAGTGAGCCCCCTCTAGCTCTCTGGAGCCCCTACTGCTTCTGGAAGGGACCGGCCTCATCCGCTTGCTGCTGGAGCCCCCCACCTGCCTCCTTCTGCAGGGAAAGTGGGTGGGGAGGATGATTTTCTAGCACAGAGTGGAATGGGAGCAGTAGTGACAAGACACGTGTCGTGCTAGATGTGTTCTATCATCTCTTTGAACTCTCCCCCCAACTTTGTGGGGAGCGTCTACATTTTGATTTATGAGGAAACCAAGGCGCAGAGACATTCAGCGGCTTGCCTGAGGTCGCCCGCCTCGTGGTGGTGCGTGGGCTTGAACGTGGAGTTCTGACCCCTAAAACAAGACTTTCCTGTCTGCTGCTATCTCCTGGGTGGCAACGCCAACATGGGCTCCATGAAAGCAGGCCTGGCGAACCAGAGAAAGGAACGTCAGCCATCCAGTAAGAACCCAACACCGCTTTTCTGTCCTGGGTTTTGACACTCCAGTGCCAATGTCAAGTGAGATGACTCCTCTTGAAGGCTCATTTCCCTGCCTTGAAAATGGCTAGAATTGGCTCCCAGCGGTCTCTTCAGGTGGGAAGGGCCAGATTTAGACAGAAGGACATAAACAACTGGGCTGGATGTCACCATTTAGATGCGTGGGATGAGGACTGAATTTCTCACAGTCTCATCTGTCACCTAAATGTGCACCTCACACCAAGAGGGCCAGCAAGACCTCAGGTCCTCCCACTCCCACTGCCCCATCTCTGCTCTTCCTGGAGGACCCGATCTTTACTAACCAGCCCCCAGGCCCAGACTCCTCAATCTTACCCAAGCCATCAGAGAGGTTCCCAAAAAAGCCAGAGATAGAAATGATTTACCCGGAGCCAGATCTGACAGCCTGAGCAATGCACCCCACCCCACCCCATTCCAACCAACCTCTGGGGACACAGCAAACAGACTAATTAGCCCCTAAGCTCCAGTCAGGAAATGAATCTCCCACCCACCCTCCCATTAGTCCCCAAGAAATTAATAAACTCATCAGATGCAACAAAGCAGACTGGCAGCTATTACCTAGACCAATCTAATTACAGAAAGGCGGTGGGAGGGAAAGGGAGAGACAGAGCCAGGCGTCCTGGGGTACAGGCTAATTGTCCCACCCACTGGGCCCCTTCTATGCCACACACATGCCAGAGGTGGGCAGGAGACACAGCTCTCCTCACTAACAATCTGTAGCTTTGCCTCCAGCCAGATTCCCTCACTCCACACTGCTGACACCTGTCCCCCAAACTTCCTGCAGGAACAGCTCTTTGGTCATCCTCTTCATGCCCACACGCACCGGCCTGATTATGTTCAAATGATGTCTTCCCGTGGCCCCCTCCCTGTACTTTCTGTCTCTCCCGCTTGTTCTGCCTCTGCACCATGTCCATGGACTCGGATAACACTGATAGCCTTGACGACACCTTAATGCAGGTAAGAAAAATGCACCCTCTCCCTGGGCCGGTGTGGCCGTGCAGGTGCACAGCTGGGCATGCTGGATTCCAGCCTCTCCTCGCCCTTGAGTCCGCACCGTCTGCACCATGAATGCAGTGGCCCCAGAGTGGGGGGACCCAAGTTTAACATGGCTGTTCTGCTGAGGAGCTGTGTGACCTCAGGTAAGTTACTCAATCCCCCTGAACCTCAGTTTCCTCCATCTATAAAATGGGGCAGAAAATAGTGATTATTACCTCATAGACTCCTTAATGAGACTAAAGGACATGGTACGTGTGTGAGCACCAGGCAAGCATTCGTTAATTTAATTTTTAATGCCATGGTCTGAGACAGAAGATGGGATCTCTTCCGTGCCCTATCACGGGCTTTACCAACCCAAGTCACCGAGCCGGTAAGTGGAAAAACACAGGATTCAAGACAAGGCCAATGTGCCGCTTCCTGAAGATCATAATATTTAAAAGCGTGTACCTCTTTTCACAACTGATTCTGATGCTCCTGGGAAAAGCATCTCGTGATTGGAGTGTTTCGTCAAATGTGAAGATTTCTGTAAATAAATGACACGGGCTGTGTTTGTGTGTGCCCAGAAAGAATCCTTCATCCAACATTTCTAAAGGACGCAGGATTTATGTTAATTTGTGTCCGTATGAATTAATAATAATCTTGCTCCTTAAGCAGTAAAATTTTGGAGACTTTAAGTATTTATTTGAAAGCACTGTTCCCAAAAACTCTTTCGAAGAGAATTACACGTTCCACTGTCTTGTAAATAGAGTGAGAGTCCTGACCTTCACTCAGTGTCGCTGTCGCAAAGGCAGTTACTCCCCTGTGCTGTGATAAATGCTGGTCTGCGTCCCTGAGATGGGGATGGCCACTTGCCTTCATTTCTGTGCTTTGATAAGTTAATTTGTCTACTTCTCAGAGTGTCTTTTCTCCTTGTGAACTGCCACTCGGTACCGCTCTCAGGATAGCTGTGTTTAACCCCTGGGCAAGCAACCAAGGGATGGAGCTCCAATGAACTGCTGTAAGGAGAACCCAGAGAAGACCAGATGGGATGTTGGGGCTCCGGGGAATGGATTCTGGGGCATGGGTACAAACTACCCGCAGTCCTTGGCAAGGCCACTGCTGAACAGCTGAAGGGGTGTCTGAGAGCTGCATTTAGTCTGTGTGTGACCCCAGATCGGTGGAAGCAAGGTGGTCACTCCCTCGGCAATACGCCATGGGAAATGCTTGTCCGGGGCCATGACCCCAGGGGTCCCCTGCTGCTTCCCGAAAGAGCTGGTGGCGTGTCATGTGGGGCGTGAAGGGCCACATTAACATCTACCCCGTGACCGTGAGGCCCAGGGGCCCTAAGCAAGTCAGCAAACCTCCCCAAGTCTCCCCCTTCCCTGGCCTTACTGAGCTCCCTCTGGACGAGGGGACACTCTGGCCCTTTGTTCTGTTTTCCACCCGGCAGCGGGCAGAGGTCTTGACACAATCTCAAATACAATTCCTCTAACCCAGGCTTAACACCCTGCAATTCTTCCCATTTTGGTTTAAGGATAGAGGGCCTTCCCACAGCCTACCAGACCCTGCACAGCGGGCCTCTGCCCACTGCCCATGCTCATCTCACACTATCTTCCCCAGCTTTGTCTGTGTGCCAGTCCCGCTG